CGACACACTTATAAGAGAACATCATACGACAGACTCACTCTAGGTATACGGGCGGGTAAGATCCGTATACCCCTACGTTCATCCTGTATCATATACATTTAACACCAACTCATTTCAAACTCTTAGTCTCACAATCACTGCTCTGTGGGGTATCTGTCGTCATTCGGCAACAGCTCCGAACTTATCCCGAAATATAGATTTCACCGTGTATCAGCCTTTTAACCGCCACTTACTCTTCCCGTGAATTTGTGTTTAAACCACAGCCACTACGTGGATCCCGAAGGAATCTCAACAAACTGACCAGCCAAGTCCTGCCGCAACTTGCCACCCTTAGTACAAGATTATGTAGTTCTCAGGGTCGACCCCGTGTCAAATCATTCCAAGGAAAGTCCGAGGAGTGAATTGACATCACTAATTTATAGTCTCACAGTCCTTAATCGAACTGTTTTGCATTCGCCAGGCAAATTTCATCGGGTTCTTTTATATTAAGCACATTCGATCCTTCGATGTCGATTATTTCCGAGTGAACTGGTCTCCGGAAGAGTATTCGGTTAAGGCTCTCTTACAGTTTGATACGGTCTTATATTTATTCGGTGGCGTGTCATAATGTCCATAGACCTTATGACACACCACAAAGCGACATAATGTTCACGGACATTATGTCATTTTTTTAAAATATCATAATTTCCATGAACATTGTGACACTTTTAAAACAGAAATGTATTGGAAAATTTGTTTAGAATTTAAGAAAGGGACACTCTTATCACGAAAAGAATTGCTCCTAAATTTGGTGTAGGTTGCATTTCGGATTCTTTTTAGAAAGTGTCCTGGATAGCCGGCCTTCGGCTGGGCGCAGGGGTTTTAAACTGTATTTCGGGTATTTCGAATACCGACTTCACTGAATTAAGCCTTTTTTTTGATAAATGGACTCTTTGAAATCCATAGACTTTATGTCACATTGCTCATGGATATTGTGACACTTTTGAAATTGTCATAACGTCCATGGACATTATGACTCAATTTTGTGTGTCATAAGGTCTATGGACATTATGAAACGTCACCTATTTATTATTACTGATTTCGCCTTAATTTTGGTTACTATCTTAACCTTTGTTGGTGACATATTTATTACAATACTAAAGATTAGTGCTGTTCGGCTGTAGGGGTAATCTTTCAATTTTCGACACTTGATTTGATAAGTACTTCATCTACTTTTGCCCTTATAAGATCATACTATAATATATAGAACGCAAATCTTACTCTCCAAACATGTTTTCTAAATTCGGAACTCAGATGTACGTTATTTTGTGATTTTCGGCATTAGGACTCACATAAGAGTTATGACCATATAGTAGCATATAGGCGAAAGGGATTGTCAAAGACCTAAGTCCCCTGTCAAAAACCTAACTGGTGAGAATGTATTAGTAGAAGCACACAAATAAACACAGTTGTTCAAAAGGTACTAACCCTGCCAGCAAATATGAGTTTAATTTTGGATAAATGAACTAAATTTACACTATTTAGGCTCAACTTCATGTTTCTCAGTGCTAAATAAAAATATTTACAAAAACAAAATACATAATTTTCTAATTTAGTTATTTTGAGAATAGCAACTTTTTGTTAATGAACAGACCTAGTATCAGTATATAAATGTAAAATTATTTGATATAAAAGCTATTCAAAAAAACAGAAACTTTTCAAACTATTTCGTGAAAAATTTGTTTATGAAGCAGAACTATTTCAGTTTTAGTTAATGATTTATATTGAGTTTTAGTTAATGATTTATATTGAAAAACGAGAATCCGGATATACGAATATCATCTTTCTAAAATGGTAAAAAAAACATATTGATCTACATTTATTTATTTCATGACTCGTGTAAAATTATTGAAATCTATCTTATACTGTTTTTACAAATTAAAACATTCCTATGAATCAGTGGCAACAATGTGCATTGAACCAAGTCACATTTACATTCTGATACTAGTTTATTGTGTATTTGAGATAACCCAACAATTTTAGTTGACTGTCCCAAAACTGTATTATTTACCACATCTATAGATTTATTTTTGTGACAAGTACATAACCTAGACGGTAGTTAACTGACTTTAAATAGATTACAAAGATAGTAACCGTAAATTTATAGCAGAGGAACGAATTGCTATTTTTTATAGTATTATATGAGAAACAGTTTAAAATTACTGCAATCTAGATGTCTTAGGAATACTTAAACGATAAATGACTCTACCCTGTGATTTCTCTTAACACTTACCTATTAAATGCATCGAAAATATTTACATATATATATATAAGAATAAGTCAAGTAATTACGCATTATTAAAAATTTCCACCTCAAAAGAGTTACATTGACTACATATAAAACTGCTGGGCATGTATATGATTCTAATGTTGCGATTATCACCTGCCGGAGAAAATCATAAATCCATTCACAATAATTGACAGACATTGACACATATAATTTTCTCAATAAATCGGTCAATTAAAAGGTAAAATGAAGAAAAGAAATGCTTCTATTGTACCAGAAGTCCCCCAAGGTATCTTTCTTTATTTACAGCAAATGCAATAAAATCGTAAAAAGAAAATAGAGAAAAATGTTATACAATTGAAAAGCACGACAATAATAAAACCATAATTTAATGATTTCACTCAATACTTGTTGAGAGTTAAGTGTATATTGAGACCATTTATTTAATATGATTACCAAGGTATGTGGAATGTTAATGGGAGTAAAAAGTAATACATAGTACATATCGTATACTCCTCTTTTGACATGTCCATAATATTTCTTTCTAGTCATGTTATCAAAAAGGGTATAGCAAATTCCCTTAAGTTAGGTTAGGTTTTATCATATACAATTTTAAAATTTCGATACGCAAGAATCATTCAGAAAGGGCTCTGTAATATATAAATTATCAGAACACTCAATCCAAAGAGCTTTCTCATACAATTTTGGGAATTTTTGTGGAAACCCATACGTGTTGAGTATTTCATTTGTATTTGAATCCAGTTTATAGTACATATAAGCAATATTAATACCCTACATCATCACATCATGATGTTTTTCTAAACTCTATTCCAATGTCGATTTTCTCAACTATATTACTTATGAACATATATATTTGTATAACCTAGTGTAATAAGTATTAAATTTGTATTGATATTCCACATTAATCTACCGAATTCTCTGAATATCAGTCTAGAATTTCACCCAGGCCTCTGCTGGCCCTATCATGCCTTCAACATGCATTCAGATATATCAAGATCGTCTGGGAAATTTTAATACGGATCAATAAAGATGGTGAAATGAAATGTAATATGTATTGTATAAAAAATACTAGCATACCCAGTATGCTTTGCAAGTTCACCAATTTTTCCGAACGTTAATTAAGATTTTAGTTTAATCTATGAAAAATTTGAATCTAATAGTTTCCCAGATATACGAAATTTTGTATTTAATTCATATGGGAGGTGCCAAGTCCCTATTGAAAGTCCGCCCATTATTCTCTAAATGTTCACATTAATGTCAAAGTTCTTCATGTAAAATTTGAAGATTGTAGCTGTAATAGTTTCTCAGATATACGAATTTTTCTATTTAATTAATACGGGGACTCTAAGCCCCTCCAGATGAAAATACGCCCTTTTTTCTCCAAAATGTTCAGATGATTAATAAAGTTCTTCGTGCAAAATTTGAAGAATCTAGTTCTATTAGTTTCCCAGATAAAAGAAATTTTATATTAAATTCATATAGGAGGTACCAATCCCCCATTGAAATTCCGCCCGTTATTCTCTAAATGTTCACATGAATGTCGAAGTTCTTCACGTAAAATTTGAAAATTCTATCTCTAATAGTTTCTCAGATATACGAATTTGTCTATTTAATTCATATGGGGCTCCAAGTCCACCAGATGAAAGACCGCCCTGTTTTATACAAAATGTTCAGATGAATATTAAAGTTTATTATGCAAAATTTGAAGAATTTAGTTCTATTAGTTTCCCAGATAAACTAATTTTTATATTTAATTCATATGGGAGGTGCCATGCCTCCTGCTGCTAGTCCGCCTACTTTTTGTCCTAAATAATCATATTGTATAAATCGAAAGATTCGCTGAGTTTATTGAAATCATTCAAGACAATTTAACCTTTCCGTCCGTCTTCCTATTGATACCATAAAGGGGCTTAAATCAAAGGACTGAGGATAAAGAAATTTTCCATAATCTTTCAAAAGATTCTTTCGGTATTCAAATGAGATACATATGATTATCAGTACAAAAATTTGGACGCCGACATTCAAAATTAATATAAGATAGTACCTAATAACGGAGCCATGCAGGCCATTATAATAAAAACCTTGATAGAGTCTAGGGAACTTAGAAAGCTATAATTTGCATCTTGTTGTTTATGCCGGACCGGACATTTAATTATGTACATCAGGTGTAGAGTAACATCGGGTCTGACTTATTCAGCTATACTTTGTTACATGTTTTCACTCAAGTTAAGATCATGAATGAATTTATTAAAATGTGTATAATTTTTATAACTCTTGAGTAAAAGAGGCAAATTAACTATGTAAAAATGACGAGAAAGAGAATAAAAAAAATTGTTGTATTTTTTGCGGCCTTTACCTGCATTAACAATTTTGGAGCGCTAACAATAACAACAACAATAAATAGCAAGCGACCCAGCCAAATGCAAACCGGTGTTCGATCAAACAACTGAGACACACATACGAACACACCCAACAGTTTCACATGCTGTTGTTATTGTTGCTGGTACTTCTGGTAGTATTTTGTGGATGTTTTTGGTTGTTAACTTTCTTTCGTTTGGTTTTTTTAGTTTAGTAAACAAAACATCATTTCCAGAGCTCCGATCTTAATGATCGTGTGTACAAATGATCAGCAACAACCAATTTCGAATGCATGTGTTGTTTATGTTTTTCTTGTTTATTTTTATAATTTAGTTTTTAGCCAAACATTGTCGTGAACGGTTGGTTCGCTCGTACGGATTAGAGTCTATTCTTTTAGTTTTAACGTTCGTTTTAAAATTAACGTGTTTTTTTTGTAGCGTTTAAACGTGTTTTGTTTTTGTGGTAGTTGTATGCGATTATTGTTTTGGGCACGTCTTTATGCCAATACGCATAACTGGTGCATAAGATCACAACGACTAGGTTGACTCAGGCGATCGTAGCTTTGGTTAATTCCGCGAAACAATTTGTTTTCTCTATTACCATTTTTGTGTGCAAAATAATTAAATGATTAGATACATACAAAGATAAAGATTGGCAAAAAGTACACAATAGCCACATAAAAAGTGCAAACGACAAAGACAAATGCTGATCACGTATGTAGAACAAACGGATTACATACTTGTAAATACATGCAACCAAATCATAAAGTATACAAACAACCTGCCACATTTATTGTGCAAGTAATTACAGTAAATATTATCAACTTACCACTCAGTCACTCACATGTCGACGATGTCGTTGATAAACTGCCTAATGGAGTGAAGAAAGAAGTACTTCTTGTTTTGTTTCGTTTTAATTTGATCGGTATTATTGTGAATGTGAATTGGTTTACGATATAATGACCCATATTAAAGTACAAAGTGTTTAAAACAATTACAGATTAGATTAGAGATAACAAAGAAATAAACAAACATGACAAATAGTGATAAATCAACAACGTCTGCTCTAACTCCCAAAACAACTTTGGGAAAACGTGCCGCCAAAAAATTATGGAAATTATTAACGATTAATCCCAATGCAAATAGTGCCACTACCAACAACATCTCTGCAAGTCCCAACTTATTTGAAGGTGGCTCGAAGCCATGTCGTGACATGACAATGCAAGAAACATATCTCAATGATAAAGCCTCCACAGTTTCCAACATTTCTACGAAATATTCCACAACCAACTCAACGGTTGATTCAAATTCTCAAAAATCCTCCTCATGTACACTTAATGAGGCAGCAAAATTATTTCCACGCAATATGCCAAGTATCAGACGCAGTCGCCGACGCTTGCAGCAAAATGCCACCACACAACGGAGTCGAGAATCATCGGCTACCACAGGAGTCTTGAATACGTCACACAAAAGTGCCTTTGCCAGAGTGGCACCAACTCAAAGTCTTCAGGATACGTCGGATGTGCAAGAAAAGTCTAAAAAATCATGCAGCAAAACCAAAATGACACCGAAGAAGCTGAAAGCAAATTGTTCTAAAAATCGTCTTAAATCAGCGGCAACAACAACTGCAATACTCAGGAGAAATTCTGGCAAAGCTAGTCAACAGCAAGTGTTGTATGCCATGAAAGCTGTAGTCATACCAGCAACACCAACCAAATTAAATTCAAAAACAACAACATCTTCATCATCCAGCAACTCACTTAGTTTTGTTCAACAGCAGCAGCAGCAACATAAGCATTCTCGAGATCTTTCACAACAATCGAGTCTCATCAGTTATGATTTAAGTTGTGCAACCAGTCAACAAAGTTTACAGCAGGTACATGTGGCCGCCGACATCACATCAAATGACAATGTCAAATACCCAGTTGGTAAAAACATGTCAGATGACACATTTCTATCATCTGGCATTTCGTGTCCCAGTGAAACACACTCCGAAGATAGTGCCACAAATTCACCAACATTTTATCAAACATCCATTACACGCCAGACAATTGGCAAAGCGTTGCAAAACACAAACGTCAGCAGTGGTCACAACACGAATTCTAGTGCAGTTTGTTGTAACCACAATGAAATGCATCATGTTGTTGCTGTTGATAAACATAGCAATAGTAATAATAATAATAATAGGTTTGTTAAACATACAAATAACAAAGACGTTGAAGGTGAAGATGATGAAGAAGAAGACGTTTTAATTTCAATGGAACTGGCCATGATAACTGGTTGTGGCGATTGTAAAAGTGATACAAATTCTTTCAAATCTAATACATTTAACAATAACAACACTAAGCCAAATACAAACCCTGCTAACCCATTGGCCGTTTTGGATTTACACAATTTGAATAAATGCCGAAATCGTAATGCTGTTTGGATGCATGCCACAAACGATGATCATCAGTTGTCCGATATTGAGGAGCAATTACACAAAATCGAAATGACAGCTACAACGACAGCAACATCTATGGCAACTATGACCACAACAACATCGTTAACTACTCAAAAGCCCCAACCAAAGGCAACTGAGTCCCATGAAATGGGCCATAAAACAGTTTCTGCTGTTGATGCTGTCGCTAAACAATCGTTTCTAATAAAGTGAGTTGAAGTTTTTGTGTTTTTTAATTGATTTTTGTTGTCTTGATTCGGTAACTATTAAGGAAATCTTGTGTATTTATATCATTTACATAGTTAGTAGTTCTCTTTTTACCATATTAAGCAACCAATTTAATTTGAATTTGTCGCTGGTTTATTGGTCATTAAAAGATTTGAAGATTCTTTTACGATTACGAGCCATATATTGTTTTACTGTAAGATTATGTAAGAAAAAATAATTTTCTTTTATTTATTAACGATTTCCTATTATATTTTGAATTTATTATTGGATGATTGGTTTTAAAAGAACTTGTTTAGAGCTTTTTTCAAATGTTTATGATATAAAATCATATTTTCCCATAAACATTAATTTTATGTGATTTTATTCTCATACATTTGAATTTAATTTTCGGCTTCAGCGTTTAAAAGATTTTGTAAGAATTTCTATAAAAGTTGAACAAAACGTTTCTGATTATAATAGGGATTAATTAAGTGCGATAATACTTTTTATACTTATATAAATAGAATGTAAATTAATAAACCTTTAGATAGATTGTTATACCCTACACTACTATAATGAGGAGGGCATTAAGGTTAGATAACTATAAAAAATGTTTAAACAAAACATCGCAGCGTTCAAAAGAAGGGAGATTTTAACGTAAGAGGACTAGTAAGAACTCTTATGCTCTGTGGAATGATATTCAAGAATATGGTGAAATATGATAAAGGATTTTTATATCCTACACCATTTTAGTGAAGATTTTATATTAGGTTTGTCCTCATGTTTGTAACTCGTAATAATGTTGGTCCTATACCAACGAAATACAATAAGCTCTCCTATACTCTTTCTTTTCCAGGTACGTATGCTCAGACATGCATAAAGACAAACAAAACCAGTCAGAGAACTTATTTTTTATTATCTGCCTATGTATGTATGTCCTATACCAACCCTAAAGTATTCAAACCGACTTGGAATCAGTCGATTTAGCTACGACCTTTCGTCTGACCTTGTAATCACAACCGTAGGCTGCAATTTTGAATATAATTGAATGAAATTCAATGCTGCAATTCTTCCTATTGCAGCAGGGACGTTTGAAAGTGCATTATACCATCTACCCATCATGCAATTCAACCCATAGAGTTTTGGAGCTCATATTTAAATATAATAGTATGTTGCCAAACACCAAGTTTTATGCAGGCCCTGATAACCATTGCAGAATTTTGTAATAATCGGGCAACATTTACCCCTATAATATACCATGATGCTCCTGGTATAATCCTACGAATTTTTTATTATGACCTTAAAGGGGGGTATTGCTGACCGTTTCATATAATTGAATACCGTAAGTTCAAATTGATTTTCATACAGGATGACGATTAACTTGTTCTATAGTTCCATGATGTTCACGAAAACCATATTGAGAAACTGAAATAAAATTTCTGTCAAAGAACGATGGCATAATTTTTTTGGAATATATTCTCAAATTGCTCTAATGGATAAGAAAGTGAGCAGGTTTTGGCAGCATTTGATTTAGGGATTTGATGTGACTCTAAGTGGGAAAAAGGGTCAGTAATAGATCGAATACAAAATTACTAATTTGTGTATCTACTTCAGTCATGAGATGTGATTTAAGGTACATAATATGGATTATTCGTTTAAATCTATCGGATCCCCGAAAATTTAAACCTTTATCTGAATTATTATCTTTGGAAATTTAAATTAAAACAAGTAAGAAAGTATAGTCGGGCTTGGCCGACTATATGATACCCTACACCAGTTATGAATGGGGGTATATTGTTTTTGTCATTCCGTTTGTAACACATCGAAATTTTCATCTAAGACCCATAAAAGTATATATATTCTGGATCCTTATTAAATTCTAAGACGATCAAGCTATGTCCGTCCGTCTGTCTGTCTGTTGAAAACACGATAGGGTACAAATGGAAGTAAATAGCGGGCTGAAATTTTGCACAGACATTTTATATTGATGCAGTTTGTTTGGTATTGAAAATGGGCAATATCGGTCCACGAATTCGTCCAGCCCACATATAAGATCCCCTTCATAACTGACTAAAAGAAGCATCTATAGCGTTGAAATTCGACATGAACATATCTTATAGAAATCTTAATACCTTCGTAAAATTTTATAAGGATCGGTTCATAATTGACCCTACCCCACATATAAGGTCCCCTTCAGAAAATGACTTAACGCTCATAACTGTCTAAAAGAAGCATCTATAACGATGTAATTCGACATGAACATATTTTACAGGAACCTAAATCGCTTTGTAAAATTTTATAAGGATCGGTTCGTATGGGGGATAGGGTCAAATGAAGTCCGATCATTTCGAAATTCGGCAAGGTCATCAAGGCTTGTATAAAACTTAGTTGTGCGAACTTTCATCGAGATACATTTATATAATACATAATTATGAGCTCAAAAGCCCTTTTCGGGGGGTTCAGTTGTATGGGGGCTATGTGAAATAATGAACCGATTTTAACCATTTTCAATAGGCTTCGCCCTTGCTTCGTCAAAACAAACGTGTATTCCAAATTTCATCAAATTATCTTGAAAATTGCGACCTGTAATTTGATAACAACGTTTACATGGACACACGGACGGTCGGACATCGTTAAATCGACTCAGAGAGTGATTCTGAGTCGATCGGTATACTTTAAGGTGGGTATAGTACTAATATTTTAATGCGTTACAAACATCAGCACAAACGTATAATACCCTTCCCACTATAGTGGTGTAGGGTATAACAAAAGGAAATATCATATATGTAGTAGGTATTTTTGATATAAGACTTGTTGAAAATAAATAATACAGGCCGACAAATTTTTAACCCAGAGACCAAAGTATACTTTCCATTATATCTGAAATTCGAAATATCGTATGCCGAAGTTTGAAAGAACACAATTTTTGGACCTTTTCGAGACGTTATAATAGTCATCTTTATTTATAAAATTTTATGAATATTTTCTTTCTTCTTCGAGCATTATACAATAATAAATTGATAACAACTGAATGAAAAAGTACATTTCGCCATTATTTTACTTATATATTTCAATTTGTTACATTTTCTCCTATAAAAATACCTTTTGAGTTGTTTAAAAATCTGAGATCTCATTCGTTGATGTTGACTATAAATAGTTAAAACGAATCAGAACGTGATTTAGAGTCGATTGCAACATTCTTAGAGCTTTCAATATATGAAGATATCTCGAAGAAGCAAGAAGATATGTCAGATATTAAGCTTTTATTTTGAAGTTGTCAGGATGGACTTTCAGATGGCATAAAACATTTTATAAATAAACTTGTCTGGGCGCTGTTAGAATGTCGGATTCAGCCCGTATCTCAAGGTTGCGACTATTTTTGTCGGCCTGTGTAAATTATGTAAATATGAGGACAAATTTAAAATATCCACTAATATCTTTTTTAAGCATAATAAATTTATGTAATAATATATTTTAAAAGCACTCCTTAATCCCCATAACAAATATAGTAAGAGTAAAAACTAAAAACTTGGATACTTGCGTTTTTAGTTAATACCCCATTCATTCATTTATTCATTCCAGTCATGTTTCGTATTTGTTATAAAATCACAGTAAATGCAACATGTTTCTCACCTATTGAGTTAACAATGCCAAATCAAGCGTTTATTTTAGCCAATAACTGCAATAAACTTTCAATTTTTTTTTGTGCCCAAGTTATATTAATCTTTAATCTGTAACGTGTAAAACGAAGACAAAAAATTGTATCGGTCAAAAAACAATTTAAACAGTGGCTTACACACACTCTCAAGATTGAACATATTTGATATAATACGTTCGAACGTTTATTCATTTAACTCAAAAAATGTTCATTAAACATGAAGTTGGGGTTTTTATAATCGAATGGAATGATGTGAATTTCTGATACGCTTGATTAAATCATTAAGATTACAACAGAAAACCAACATAATAACAAAACATACATACATAGATCAGATCATTTATCATTACTTTTTGTTTAATTTTATTTTTTATATCTGAGAGTATGTAAATTTCATTAAGCAAATTTTGCAACAATTTCAAAAAACTTATTTCGATATCTCCCTTATTGTTTGGGAGAGACAAACAATGCAGAATGAATTTAAACACAAAGATATTATTAAAATAATACCCAATGATAAATTATTATGTTTAGGTGATTTAAATAAATTAAATTTAAATAACAAAAAATCATTAATTGTGTTAACAGACAAACACACATAAATGTATAATGTGTATGATTAAAAAGTCAAAAATTTCAAATATCCAACCGACCAACTAAACAACCAGCCACCAAATCAAACCTGCCCCTGCCAAGTCCATCAGTCAACAAAACAAAGGTGTAAATTACTATGATTGACCATCAACTGGGAATTTATTAAAATTTTTCTCTCTCGTTTATTAATATTTTTTTGTAGTAAAAGTCACAAAAAGAAGAGAAAGATATTTGTAATTTATTAGTTATAAAAGGTAACACTAAAGCAAGCACATTATAATTTAATAATATCAATATTTCTTGCCCATTTTTAGAGGAGACAACACAACCAAACAAACAGCAGACAATGCCAATGAATAAGAGAAGGCCTCAAACTGTGTTTTGTAGTCCACACACTGTGGGCTTTCAAATGCCATTGAACAAGTTGATCAGAGTAGTGCTGTGTTTTGGGCCAAGACATAATGTCCTTTACTTCTTCTGTTGTTTGTTGTTGTGGTTCATATTATACTTAATGTGTCCCCTCGTATTATGTGCAACACATTTAAGTGCCATACAGTGTCTTGCAATAATATAAAAAAAACATCTACCGGTAATATTAAATACTAAATATTATCAAACCCAGTAAGCAATAAAGTAATGAAATCTTTATTTATTATGAAAATGGTGAGTAGTAGCAACTAAACAATTGATTTATATAGTCCACAATTTAAAAGTCTTTGAGATATTTGACCTTTTCCTTAGCTTATACCG